TTATAAAGGTTGTGACCAAAAATTATGTAAATAGAAGAACAATTTATATTTTAAATTTAATTTAAAAAAAATCTTTACACGCGTGGAATGCGCGACATCATATGATGTCGTTCTTAAATTTGTCCTTACTTTTAACGTCATATGACGTCCCTAGATTACATTAGATCATGCAGGAACGAAGGCTGTCTCCTTATAAAGGTGGTGACCAAAAATCATGTAAATAGAACAACAATTTATATTTTTAATATAATATTAAAAAAAACCTTACACGCGTGGAATCCGCGACATCATATGATGACGTTCGGCCAGCTGCCCTAACTTTTAACGACATCATATGATGACGTTCGTCCGATAAAGGTTAATACCCGTTAGTTTCTTATGATCAAAAATCGTATGTATGAACATTACTGCCTTCCAGATGTGGTCTGGTAGATAAACACAGGCATTTTGAACGAAGAAAGCAGTCTTCTGGGATGTGGCACTGTGTAGATGTGGTGTTAACCGATGTTTCGGAGGAACGTATTGCCTCCATCTTCAGTGTAGAAGGAAAAATAAGAAAATCCGCAAGCGAAGAGACCGTGAGAATCGATACAAGCAGACTGGTTCTCCTGGTCTCTTCACTTGCGGATTTTCTTATTTCTCCTTCTACCCTGACAATGGAGGAGATATGTTCCTCCAAAACGTCAGTTAACACATCTACACGGTGCCACATCCCAGAAGACTGCTTTCTTCAAAGTCACCGCTGTGAAAACCTCAAATCTTACATTTTGAATGAATGTCGACAAATATCATGACCCAGAATACGAAGTCATATCCAACACTGTAAGAACGTAAAATCTCACAAAAACAGTGCATCCTGCTACCTCACAAAATGCGTTTCAGCTGATATTAACAGATAAGAAATACAGAAGCAAGCCCCCATTTTGCAAGCAGTGTAACAGAAAACACACCTGATTGAAGTTACAAGTTTCTTAATAGAGTCAGATACACTCTTGCTGTGATTGGCTAGCAGTTGCCAAGTGGGAGGGTCCCTAGGACTGACAGCCAAGGACTTCGCAGCACGGACCATGGAGCAAGAGCCATCGATGATGGCACGACCAGATGACAGGATGGGCTCCTGAGCAGCCCGGGCTCCGATACTAATTTTGGCGGGCTGACTAGCGAACTCTGGTGAACCTGCAAATGTGCACAGACTGTCCACAGCATCCAACAATGGCTTTGTGGCAGCAGCACAACTCTGACGGTTCTGTTCACTGTAGTCTTGATCCAGGGCTGGAAACAACAGAAACCAGACATTCACATTATACACTAGCATAAGTAATGTCCAAGGAAAGTCAGTTTGCAAGACATACGGTTTTAAAATGAAGTAATTCTTCAACCATTTCGACAATTCACTGAAATTAAACCCATTTCAAAGGCAAACTGTTAGGGAATTCTGGCCTGTAACCTTAGATATGAATGATCTAATGTGAATAAAGTAACGGAAACAAATGAAACAACATGAAATCTAAGCAATGCCTCATGAATTTTGAAATATAATGGTAATGACATCATTGAAGAAACAATACTAATAAAGGCTTCACATCTTACAGCTTCTTTAACAAAAGTGAAAGCAGCGAACAGAGAGAACCAAGGGCATTCCATGACTTAACAAGAGGACACATGACAAGGGCCTGGATGTTTGACCATTGGGGGCCTGCCACTGTCATGATTTCAAACAGGGAAAATATTGTAACGTGTCTTGCTGGTTACTGAAGACGCCGTAGAGATGGTTAATTGGTTTAACGATCTACAAATAACGGCTACAATTACTTATCACACAGTTGCGGGGTTTCACACTTTATAACCCTAATCGCATTAATCTGTTAACACTGTTGCGGGGTTTCACACTTTATAACCCTATGCGCAAATCAGTTCGCTCTGCCTTCAGTAGTCTACACGTTTACAGTAGGGGAGCTTTGTATCACTGTATCACACGCTCCCAATTACACAATCACACACACGTCCGGATCTTCTTTCCGCGACGGCTGCTATACTCCAACTGTAGTCGGCTGACTGGAGAACTGTTGATAACACACTCGGCGACTGTTACGTTACAACTCGGCGGCTGTCACAGTACAACTCGGAACTGTCTTCGGCGATGGCCAGGTTACAACTCGACTTGGCGACTGTTGCTATATGTCAACTCGGCTCGGCGACTATTACTTTATAACTCGGCGGCTGTCACAGTACAACTAACTGGGAATAGCCTTCGCTGCTCCTTATGTAGCCTTGATCAGACAATACGGAAAACGGCCACGTAATAGGCACCCTTGTTGCCTGGTGCTGTGTTGCTAGTAACGCTAGCGGTAGTAACTGCTGTTACTACCGTAACAATCCTGTTGCGTCACCATTACGTTACTGTGCGGAGGAGGGGGAGGGGAGCGCTGACTCACCCGCCGCGTCACTGCTGGTGGGGGGGGGTTCTCCTTTGCGCAACATGTCACAATATAAAAGACTGGCAAGTGAAAGTGTCTAAAGATGGTGAGAGAACAACTGTTCCTGGAACATGTTAACAATAAAATAACTTTGGATATGAAGAGTGCTATCTTCTGATATGAGATACTGAGTAGTCTGACAATGTTACTAACAATTTCAAGGAAGATACTGCCTCCATCCTCAGGGCTCAAAAATATGCTTCCTTTTCGGCTTACTCTTCAAACCTGAAGATGGAAGGAGTGAAATATTGATAAACTTCTGTTAGACTACATGGTGTCACTTTCCCAAAAACGACTTCATATTGTTGAAGACAGTCCAAAGGTAAAGGTCTTTATGACAAAAGTCATGAATCTCAGGATTCCATAGCAACAGGGAACGTCATGGAACTGGACAACAAAAAATTGAATTACATGACTCTGTAATTCACCACTCACCCTTTATTTCCTTTACAAGGTTTGCTGTGGAATTGGCCACATCTTTGGCAGACTGGACAAAGTGTCGTTTTGCGACAGGATTTGTCGTTTTAGAAGATGCCACGCGACAGGCATTGCAAAGGGAACTTGTGTGCTTGGCAATCACCGTTGCAGCCGACAGCACCTGTAAATCATCCATACAGATAAGAGTTAACACTTTCCATTCTGTCACTATGTATGATACCACGTAGTTATAAATAGGAATGGAAAATCAACTGGAAGGTTTGCTTGCATTGGTAAAGCCATGCCCACCTTTGGTGAAAGAATTATCACAGTAAATAGCAACACTGCTTAATGCACTGAATTTTAGTACCTTGGTAGAAATGCAGCTGTCCTGCTTGAAGTTTTCAAGTTCACAGTAAGCATATTCAGTGAAACCGCAATTTCAGAGCATCCCTCAAAGGATTCTTGTTAGGTTATTACATTACCTCTATGCTGAATGTAACATTATGGAACTGTATTCTATTTTACTTACTGAAGGCATATCCATTATGTCACAAAATCTGTATACTTGGTATTAAAGTGGATAATCAATTGCTTCACTAAAATTAGGTACTTTTGACGAAGTCTGTAGTTACACATAAAATTTTGCATTTGAACAACAAGAGTTTATTTATGAAATTTTATGCTCCAAATTCAATAACAATTTCCAGATGGTAGTTAGTATCATAATTTAGAACGCTGATGAGATTAAAAAAGAAGAACACATCATGATACCTGTTGCTGATTTGTTGCTGGGTTGGTCAAGTGCTGACAGGCTGTCTGGATGGACTGGGCAGCGCGTGCAAACTGCGCCTGGTCCACAAGCCCTGGGCGCCCAGCCACACTGGATGGTTCTGACACTCCTACCAAGTAGGCGGCTTGTGCTGCGGCTTCAACCAGGCCACAGATTGAGTTTGAAACGCTCTTCACAGCCTCACCGAACTGCTCATGTTCTGACTTCTTGGCATGGTTCGCAATGCCTGTCATCCCATCCCCTGCAAGAGGTAACCAGCATAAGAAAACACTCTTAGAAAAACAAATACATGAGCCAGTACATTAAAAACGACTGTGGACCTGTCGTCTTGACAGATTACTGATGATGATGATGATATTTAATTACAAATTGTTTCAACTGACCTAATCCTTCCAGCCACACAATGGCCCTGGGGTCGACCCAGCCTCTAACAGAAATGAATACAAGAAATTAATTAAATAATTTTCCTGGGGAGTAAAGCGCGGCCAGCACGTAAGACTGACAATGTTACCACCATCTGTGAGCCGATTGTCTAGATAATGTGGGACCCTTAACGTCTTAACAACCCTATGGGTCTTCACGGCCTGTTACAGGGATAGCTTTACTTTTTTTTACTTTTAACATCTTCACTGCCAATCCAATCACACCTGACAGGTGAAAATTACTACATGTCAGGGCTGATGCCATGAGGCAATGTGCTGTCCCTAATGTGCGTGTGTGTGTGTGTGTGTGTGTGTTAATGCCAGAAGAAAGACAAATGTAGAACAGTTTAAATACAATTTGCCGGAGCTTGGAATAGATGAAACATATAGGAATTATCAACTGTTTCGCACTTGTTATCTTCCATTTCCAATCTAGTAAGATGAAAAAAATAGATATAGATGTTAACCATGGACAAAGCAACAACTATACAATGTCCACACATAAGGAACACACATATATATCAATGACGTCTCATGACTTATACCCAAAGACGTACACTGCATGAATGTTAACACACCATAATAGCCCATGTAATAGTATCCATAAATACATTTACTACAGCACAACCTCGGGCGCAGTAACTTCCACCCTGAGAGGCACTCAACAACATGGCATTCCACAAGTCATGGAAAACGATGAACATTACATGAGAAATTTTATATTCCACATCTTAATACTTGTTCTAATATTTTAACTTTTTTGGTTTTAATTGTATAACTTTCCATTTTATTCCCAAGGCTTTGTTTCATAATATAACATCTTTCCAACATATCATTCATTTTTGATAAACATTACATGCTAATATTTTAATACACTTACGAGGGTAATTCCTAAAGTAAGGTCTCCTATGTTTGAAAATATAAAATAAACATTTATTTTCAATTTTGGATACATCAGTTGAATCTTGAACATGTACTCATTTCTCTACATAATCGCCATTTCGGTCGATGCATTTTTGTAGGCGCAGTGGCAGTTTTTGTATGCCCATGTCATACCAGTTCACCTCCATGCTGTTCAGGAAACTTCGAACCTCAGCTTTCACCTCATCGTCGTTGTTGAAGCGCTTTCCAGACAAATGTTCTTTCAACTTTGGAAAGAGATGGTAGTCACTGGGCGCCAAGTCCGGACTATAGGGTGGATGGGTGATGATGTTCCATCCAAACTGTTGCAGTTGAGCAACGGTTTGTCGGTCGGCATGGGGGCGAGCGTTATCGTGGAGAATGCTTACGCCCTTGCTCAACATCCCTCTTCTCCGGTTCTGAATCGCCCGCCTGAGTTTTCTCAGTGTCTCACAATATCTCTCAGCGTTTATTGTGGTCCCAGTTTCCATAAAGTCAACCAACAATACCCCGTTTCGATCCCAAAACACAGTTGCCATGACTTTACCGGCAGACTGTGTTTGCTTGAATTTTCGAGGCTTAGGCGAAGAGGAATGCCGCCACTGACGTGATTGTTGTTTTGTCTCAGGTGTGAAGTGGTACGCCCAGGTTTCGTCACCTGTGACAATTGAATTCAAGAAGTTGTCCTTTTCGTCAGCATAGCGGCGAAGAAATTCACGGGAAGAGTCAACTCTCTGCCGTTTGTGGTCTTCCGTGAGCATTCGCGGGACCCATCTTGCGCACACCTTCCGATAATTCAACTTCTCTGTCAAAACCCGATAAATGGTGGTTCGGGAAACCTCGGGAACCGAAATGCAGAGATCATCGAGTGTGATGCGCCTATCCTGACGCATGACTCGCTCAATCTTCGCGACTGTCTCGTCAGAAATTGACGGTCTCCCAGTTCTTTTTTCGTCGTGTATTGCAGTACGACCAGATTCAAACTCCCTACACCACTTGCGGACGTTCTTTATGTCCATGCACGACTCGCCATACACTTCCACCAATTGACGATGAATTTCAATTGGTTTAGTCCCTTTTGCGTTCAAAAACCGAATAACTGCGCGAATCTCACACTTCGCGGTTTTAGTAATCGGGAGCTCCATTTCTAACGGCAACCGTGCCAAGACTGAGCGTCCTAGCTACGTGCGCGCATGCTTGGTGGTATTGGGGGGAGTGGGGGAAGCAACGAATGCAACAGGGTTGCCAACAGCCGCACGAAAAATTACCCAGCGCTTTGGAGACCTTACTTTTGGAATCAGCTACGTATTTTGTACGAAGTCTGACAATAAAGTTCGCGAACTCGTCACCATGTGTTTGTTGTGGCAGCAGTGGACAGAAACCTCAGTATGGATTGATGACATTGGCATATCAGTGTTTCACAGATGTGTTGTTGTTGATATATGGCAGTCTCTTTCTGAGTGGTGTCTATTACTGTCTGAGCATGTTTTGATGTGCCACTGCATCACAACAATGAACCTGCTCACATGACACCGTCTGTGAGGGAGTTTTGAGCTAGTAAACAAATAACTGTGCTGGAAGACCCTCCCTGTTCACTGGATCTAGCAGCCAGTGACTTCTTTTCTGCTCCCAAAGATAAAGGAAATACTGAAAGGAAGGCATTTTGATGACAGTGATGACATCAGGAGAAATATGATGACAGCTCTAGAAGCCATTCCACAAAACCAGCATCAAAACTGTTTTTAAGGATGGACTAGGCATTGGCATTGGTGCATAGTTTCCCAGGGGAGTAGTTTGAAGGCGACCACAGCAATATTCAGCAATTAGGTATGTACCACTCTTACCACAATGAGTTCGCGAACTTTATTGTTACACCACATACTCTTTTAATATATGAGAAAGTTAATATTGCAATTCTTATATTTCCAATATAAGCTTCATTTCACAATATGAATGTGTTGTGTCCATATTTAGGAGCTCAAATAACGTTAGTTCTGTGATCATAATACTGTCTGATGATGGTCCCATGAGGACTGAAACATGTAAAAAGTAAAGGTATCCCTGTAACAGGCCATGGAGGCCCATAGGGTTGCGAGATGTTGAGGCTCCCATATTTTCTAGACAATCGGCTCATAGATGGCGATAAGGTTCTCAGCCTCACGCACCGGCTGCCCTTTACCCCCAAGAACATTCCAAGAATATTCCTGGTACTCATTTCTATTACAGGCTGAGTCAACCCCAGGACCATAGTGCGCCTGGAAGGATTAGGTAAATTGAAAAAAATCCAATGACCTCCTCAGGACTTGAACCTGCGACCTTCTGACTTGTAGCAGAGTGCCTCAACCAAATATGCTACTGCGTACCTCCAGGACTGAAACATGTAGCACTTAGAAAATAAAATTCAGTCTGAGTATTGATTGATTATAACCATGTTTCTTGTGCTGACGGAAACCTTACCTTGCCATATCCTATATACCATCCTTGTTAGGTCATCATACTATAAAACCTCTGGATATAAGGTTCCAAAAGACAAAACAATGTATGTGCTCAAAAACAGACAGATGAGGAAGCCATGGAACCTGAACTCACCCAGACTCTTCGACTTCTCCATGACAGTGTCCAAACACTCAAAGTAGGTGGAATCATTGTGTGGCTCTGTGGGGTTGTCCAGCAGGGGCCGCATTGACTGAATCTTACGTATTGCATTGTCACATTCCTTCTGTCCCGGGGCTGCCGATGTGCAGACATCAATCAGGTAGTTGATACTGTCAGTCACTGCCCTGAAATTGAAATTATCAAGTTTCTTTCTGTTTTTTTTTTGTCCCCGTGTGATACAGCAGTAATGTAGTGAAGGTGCATTCTGAACCTTGGCACAAGATGAAGGTGAGTGATCAGTTTCATGCACCAGATGCTTTACCCCCTGCACACTGAACAGGGGGCTGGCTGGGCCCCCGAGAGACTGGACACTGGGAAGAGAAAAATTTGTTTCCTGTGCCAGGAATTGAAATCCAAGTTCTCTGGTCATCAAGCCCACACTCTAGACATATTACTGACTGAGCTATCTAGCCTACTGGCTAATCACAACACTGACAAAGCAATCCTAGAAATAAACTTAAAAGACAGTATGATGAAACCATCACTAAGAAACAAACAAATGAGTAGAGAATCTGTAGAAGGAACAACAGTTATATGTAGAACCCCGGTTAAACCAATGATAAAGCATAACAGCAATATACTGTCATGCATATGAGTGTCACTATAGATGGAGTTTGGATTTGTAACAAGATTTATTGAACACTTATGCATAAAACTCTTAACTACAAGTAAATGTAAAGCTACTGCTAATTCACATGTTGCAATTCCCTACAGCACACACTGAAGTCTTCAGCATGCTGCGGCTTCACCAGTTTTCTGGTAACAGCTTCAAGCGGCAGACGTTCCCTTTCGTCTGGGTTCTCTAACTGTCCCCGTGCCTCAGCTAACAGCTTCTCACAGCAACTGCTCACAAGGATTGAACCGCAGCAGTTCTCTAAGTCAGTCAGTCACTCTCCTGCTTATACATCGGCATGGGGCTGTAGAGAAAACACCGTTCCTCACTCACCTTGCTGCTGCTGCAAGCTGGTTCTTAGCATTGGGTGCTGATGGGTCGGCAGCGACAGACTTGGCAGTTACCAGCAGCTTTGATGATACCATCGAAACATTCTTCAAGGACACGACCATTTGTCCCTGTACCTCCTTGTCCTACAATGTCAATCATGTTTGCAAATTTACCATTTTCTCATCATAAACACATCAGAATTACGGAGCAATGAATACAATTACACTGCCATTGGTGTCCACTTAGGGAGGACAGCCACTTCAATAGTCCTTAGCATTCAGACAGCTGTTGGATCTTCTGTGTGCCTCTGATTTCATTAGGGTCCTTCAAGGAGGCCTGCTCATAATGCTTGAAACAAAAACAAAGCAATTACCTTGGTCTGTCCAGCCATCTCCATGCTCACTCCCAACAAGTCCCCAAATGCTGAGCCAAATGTACGGGATGAGGCAGCCAGCTGTGTTGGGCTGCGTACAGACGACACAACATCTGCCGATGCATCATTGAGGTTCGCTGCTGCAGAGTTCAGTTCCTGCTGCAGTTGTCTGTAATGGAATCATTACCACATTGCCAAGTGCGTGATGATTTCCAGCAGCAGAGGGATCTATTTAAGCTATGATCTCTATAAGGTATTACTGTCAAATTGATGAGTCCTATAAAAGGTAAAGTTGTCCCTGTGCTTGACTACTTAAGCACTATGCCACGAAGGAGTATGGGGGAGTGGATGTATAGATCCACATTTTCTTTAAGTGAGCACTAGTTGAAGGTGAGTGGTCATCTTCAAGCCCCTGTTGTTTTATCCCTGGGAAAAAAGCCCCTGGTACCCATTGGATAGGAGGTTGGGTGGACCCCAGAGTCAGCCTGGACAACTTGGAGAAGAGAAAATTCTTGCCATCAATGGGACTCGAACTCTGACTGCTCGGTCATCCAGCCATAGCCAGTCGCTATACCGACTGCACTATCCCAGCTTAAATGAGTCCTATATGCTTGTTAAATTACTGAATTATGTATAATTATTGTTTCTTTTATGAATGTATTTTTAAAGCGGCTAGTTCTGTGTTTAGAACTAATGTTCTATATCTGGCAAGTTTTAGTAGCCGGTATAGATCTACGGAATTAAAATAAAGATACGGATAAATGCTTTGTGATAGCTTTAGTAGCCGGTATGGATCTATGGAATTAAAATAAAGATACGGATACATGCTTTGTGATAGCTTTAGCAGCTGGTATGGATCTATGGAATTAAAATAAGGATACGGATAGATGTTTTGCGATAGCTTTAGTAGCCCATATGGTTTTACAGAATTAAAATAGAGATACAGATACATGCTTTGCAATAGCTTTAGTAGCCCATATGGATCTACAGAATTAAAATAAAGATACGGATACATGCTTTGGGATAGCTTTAGTAGCCGGTATGAATCTACGGAATTAAAGTAAAGATACAGATACATGCTTTGTGATAGCTTTAGTAGCCGATATGGATCTACGGAATTAAAATAAAGATACGGATATACGCTTTGTACATGTAGTACTACTTACCCATATGACTTATTGCTATGAGGAAACTCTCCTCGGTCCAGGATCTGTGATGCATCTGTGATGGAGTGAATGGCCTCATCCACGTCCTTCTGTCCCGGTAGACAGCCCACGCACTTGTTCAAAGCCTAACGTTCAAGGAAAAGGTTTTTATTTCATCACAAATAATTGTTGTATAAATTCTGACCGGTTGTATCTATAACCATGCAGTAAATTCCTGTCATGCTATTGCAAACAAAAAGTTTCTGTCTCAATACAACGTAATAATCCATACTTTCTTTAGATACCGTCCATTGTCTAGATAAGAATATATACATTTTGAGACTTACTCTGTACGACACCTGCTACCTTTTACCAAGGTTTGCATACCCTTGCTGCACACACAAACACACAAACACACACCACATATACTTTCTGCTTCAGTGCCTAGTGACATGGACTAGATGAACCTAACAGACTCTGCAGTGTAGGTAACCCTTCCTCCTGCCAGAACAGAAGATACAGCCAGCATTCAAAATACCGTATATTTTCTACCTGGGCACATGAACAGAAAATACTCGCACGACAAGAATACGGAGTCATGGAAGTCTTCTGTCCATCTGTCTTACCTGAGATACGTCTTTGGCAACTTGTGTCAGGTTCTGAGCATTGCTGGGGCTCTCAGGAGTCTGAAGGGCCTGCCTAGCTTCTTCTATGAGGCGCAGTGACCTCTCCATGACATCTTCTGCACTGGAGATAATCCTGCAGCAAATTATATGGGTACATAAGAACCATATTTTAGCCAAATGCCTAAATTTACATTCTTACGCTCCATATTAGGTATATCACATTAAAATATGAATCAAAGAATGTATGTCAATGGTGCCCATGAATGAAAAGCATACATATTCTTTACAATGCACACCACCAATCTGAAGAAAGGTAAAGAAAAATTAATTTAGGTGAAATTATTCATGTGCTAATTAAGCACTAAGCCATGAACACATGAGGGAGAGAAGGAACAGCTCCATGCATTCTTAACCTCAGCATCAAATGAGGTGAGTGGTCAGTTTCACACCATGGGCACTTCACCCCTATGGGAAGAGCCCCAGTACCCAATGGATAGGAGACTGAATGGTCCACAAAGCCACATATAATGCTACAGAGAGAAAAAAATCTCTAGCCAGAACAGGTGGAGGCACAAGGTAGTGTAGTTGGTTGAGGCACTATGCAATAAGCTGGAAGGTCACAGGATCAAATCCCAATGAGGTGAATTCTTTCAAATTACCTAATCCTTCCAGCTGCATTATGGCCCTGGGGTCAACTTAAGCCTCTAACAGAAATGAGTACCAGGAATATTCGTGGGGGTAAAGGGTGACCAGCACATAAGGCTGACAACCTCACTGCCATCTGTGAGCCAACTGTCTAGAAAATGTGGGAGCCTCAACATCTCACAACCTTGTGGGCCTCCACAGCCTGTTACAGGGATACCTTTACCTTTAGCCAGCATGGGTAACACCATTTCCTAAATCATCCAGCCTGTAACCTAGACCCTATACCAACTGAGGTATAAGTAATGTGAACATTTTCTCATAAATAAAAGATTTACACAAGAAAGTATAGGCATTTGGATCCTCTGAAGTTTTCTGTATGAGCTTATTGTAGAATATATGGTATAAAATTAATTTTTCATCAAAGGGTTTTAGCATCCACAAATGTGACTGTGAAATATGGTAAGGTTAGAAGCCAAACAACTATACTAACATAATATATAATACTTCAGAGACTCATGAAAATAGAGCAGGATGACCATTTAATGTTTCCCTCGTGGTGTAGTGTTCAATTTGAATGATTCCAAGTCACTAATCTACGTGTTAAATTGTTTGCATTTCCCTCATTGTAGCGTTCAACTCCACAGCTCCCCAAAGAAACCTTAAACGGATGTTTCACTGTACATACAAAGTTCCATACCATGGAATATAACAGAATACAGCCACTTAAGAATTCAGAGAGATCATCCATTAACCCTTTTAGTGTTACATGCTGAAGAGTTCGAAAGTACAGAGAAGCTAGTTGTTGAATTAGGAACAGATCTGTTATATTGGGTACAGAGTAATTTGAGAAAGTCCATAGCTACGTGGCTGCTGCTTTAAAGATAAGAAAGTGCAGATATAAGATAATATCAGGAATTTCAAATGCTGAGAGCAATCTGACTACAACTACATGTACAGCTACCTGACACATTTATATTCACCAACAACGGACAAGCACACATGCTGCATCTTAATCAATTATATTGAACTGCAGTTCTCACATCAATGATTATGAGGTTTAGTGTCTTCTAGGATGTGATACTGTGCAGTCCGATAGCTAGGTACCAATCTACTGAACCACTGGCATCATCCCAGAAGACCATAATCTTCAAATGCGCAGAACTCACTTTGTCTGCACATCACGGTTGTTTGTTGTGGCAGCCACACCTCGCACTGCCATGGTGAGGTCTCGAAGAGCAGATGAAGTGTTCCTTGCAGCCATGCCTGTGTAGTTCTCATTGCCCTGTGCTGCAGCGCTCAACAGTTGAGCCATCGCAAAGCCCACGTGCTTAGATGTGCTACCAAGCTGCAGGGCAGTCGACTCAGCCTGAAATACATTCATCATACTATTGGAGTTATCTAGTTACAAAAACACTAAAACTGTACATGTAAGCGACAGAAATCTTAAATATCCTTGCCTTGCATCTGCCACACTAACCGTTTCTCCTGGTAGAGGTCTGAGTTCTGCCCTCTCTGCAGCCCTGTGGAAGGCTTCGAGTTCAGCTTGCAGGCTGCGGATTAGCTCAGAAGCAGAGTCCAGCTCCAAGCCGCTGCAAACTTCACGGGCACGGTTCAGGGCGGAACGTAAGTCACCAAGTGCTGTCCCCAGATGCTGGGAGCTTGTAGTCAGTTGTAAAGCAGACGCCTGGTCTGAGACAGTTGGTAGCACTGCTCGAGCTGACTGCACCACTCTTGCGCCAGGCTGTAAAGTGTAACATGTCTGTTCAGTTAAACTGTCATATATTTCTATGGATTTCTCAGTGTGGTGAGTATTGTATTATTCTGTTCCAATGATGCAAATGAAGCATGCCACTCACAGCTTTCTTTCTATATTTTAAAACAATTCAGTCAAGCAATAAGATTCCCAGGTGTCTAAATAAGACATACACATACACACACACACACACACACACACAAAGAACAAGGAAATCCATATAGAATAATAATGCAGAATAGCACTACACTGTTGGCAAAGTTAGTGCCAACTTTAGCAGATAGAGGATGTTGCGTGGTCAGCACAACAGACCCCCATGGCTGTTAATCTCGCTTTTCTAGACCTGAGCCGCTATTTCCTTGAAATACCTCCTCAATTATCCTCACGAGGCTGAATGGACCCCATTCCTACATTTCAGAAAATCTGGTAATGCAGAGAATCGAACCCAGACCTCTGGATCTGAAGGCCAGATGACCACTCTGACCACAGAGGCAGTCTGTAATCACCGACATTAAATAATTCCTATCTCCTATGTTAACACTTGACACATAAACTGAATTACCACATTTCTTCTGCCTCTTTGAATTATCACTACTTCTGCTGCTATGTGATGGCCAATGGTTACTTCACACGCTATTCCAGACAGAAACCTAGACCATAAGGAAAAAAGACAAGTTAACATCAGGCTTTGTTATGGTATATCCTGTAGATTAAAGAATGCCAGTGGCAAAACCTCTTCCTGTTGACTGGTGATGTAAGCTGGGAAGACTGGACAGACTGTACATGAAACCTCTTCCTTGCAGTCCCTCTGGAACTGATGACCTGATGTCAACATTCACCAGCATTTAGGTGCTCCCCATTTTCTCATACTGAAATGCACATCCAGACGGCCACTCACATACCTGCAGAAACTGCTCAGAAGCATTGATGAGGTTCAGCTGTGCTGCTGGGTTCTCAGGATTGGACAGCGTGCCCTTGACACCCTCCACGAGGCTGGGGATGTGATCTGCCATGGTCTTGCAGTCACCCATAAGTTCCTCCTGTGAGGCTTTGTTAGTATTATGGTGTGCTGCCCCTTGAGCAGCTGCGATGCACTGGGTTGCCGTGCTGGCAGCTTGCTTTGCCGCCGCCTGCCAGCAGTTCAGTTATCATTGTGTATGCAGTAATCATGATGTGTACGATACACTACATCTATAGATATGAATATTACAGAAAAGAGACATCCCCAGAACAACATGAAATAATGATGAACAAAACATTTTTAACTGATATTAATATATTACGCTAATATATGTACCCTTATAACGAGAAAGACAACAAAATCCAAACAATGGATATTAAATTTGTTTGGAACTATTGAGGAGGAAAAAAAAAAAAAGGTACAGAAATAAGAACAAAAATTTTGAAATGTTAAGAACAAAAAATGTTAATAAAATTGGTAGAGTAACAATTACAATGGTTTTGCCATGTTAACAGAATTGATGGGACAAGGATACTGAAGAAGGCATTACAATTAAATTTTGGAGGAAGGAAATACATGAGTCAACCAAGAAAACGATGCTTCAGCCAGGTATTGGAAGACATAAAAAAAAGGAAGAAAGAGCTGGCAAGAAATCTAAAAGAAAATATTTGGGAAAGATAAAAAAACTCGTGGATTTTTCATCTGTCATACAAAATGCAAATAATGCTAGAAGAAGAAGACACTTCATTCACTGTGCGACACGTCTAACTGACGGATTTCCAGTCCTCACCTCGAGCCTTGTTATCAGTCTCTTTCGCAGTGCTGGTGTGGCTGCTGCAGTTGTAGCAGCACGCAGCTCCTCAACTGCCTGGCGCAACTGGTTTTGGCGCTGAGCATCATGCGGACTTGAGGCACACAGCCGAGCTGCTTCCACCATGCGTGCTGTTGCATCAGCGAGGGTCTTTGCTGCAGCTAGAAGTCGGCGCTGTATTTCTGAGTCAGGCTGTTTCTCTGCCTCCCCCTGCAAACATGAAATACTGCTACATTAATTTATTCAGTTTACTTATGAGGGGGTCAGACTGTGTCATTTGGTACTGTGCCCTCAAGCAAGCCTAGTGTTCCAGCCCCAACAATGAGGATAACATTAATGTGTTTGGAGCATGAGCAGAATGAATAGTGGGGGGGAAATCAAAGAACTTTGACAGAAACCTATGCCAGTTCCACATTCTATATTTATCTACAGTTCGGTTTCACAAGGCTATCAGTAACTCAAGACTATACAGCATTGAACAACTGGATGATAAAAAGTTAAGATGTCCCTGTGCTTAATTAATTAAAAATTAAGTCATGAAGACATACTGGGGAGTGGAGGTATAACTCCACCATTCTTCACCTTGGCACTAGGTGGAGAGAGTGCTTAGCTTCATGCCTTGGCCACTCTACCACTGGGGAAATTGCTTCTGGTACCATTGGTTAGGAGGCTGGATGGACCATAGAACTGGCCTGAACATGGTGGAGAAGAGAAAATTCTTACCCCTAGCGGAATTCAAACCCTTGCCATCCAGCCTGTAGCCTGTCACTATACCAACTGATCTATCCAGACTCCAGTGAAGAATAAATTTGAAAAGATGTGTAAGGAATCTGATATGGACCAATTTAAGGTCCTATTTCAGCATCTGTCTGAAGAAAAATCATGACTGAAATTTTAACATGGCACATCCCAAACACAAGTCAGAAACATTACTGCTTGAGTCAATTTGTTTGGTTCCACTTTATCAGCCATAAATCTCACAGTGGGTAACATGGTGTTGCATGCAGGCTTCTGCATTGAGAAACCAGCACCCAGCCGTCTCATGTTTCACATGGCATGCTACCAACACTGTTACCTTTATGGCCTGTATGAGCTGAGCTGTAGCTTGTCCCAGCACCCTGGCCTGGCGCACCATCTCCGCTGCATCACCAGTGGAGGCAAACAGACGATCAGTGGCAACTAGTATCGTCTCCACAGCACCTTCTTGCACACTCTCACGTGCCTTCTCCCTTGTTCCCAACCTAAACAACAAAGAAAAGTTAACATACCAGCAGCCAAAACTAAAACCGTGTAATGCAAGAAAATTAATGTCTTCTGGTATGTGACATCATGCAGTCTAGCACACAACTATTTTTTATACTTCCTTTCTGTGGGTTACTTTACAGCACTCTTAGTAGCTAGGCTAGACAGTGGAGAATTGTTGGTTGATATACGAATGATGAAATGGAAAAGTTTTGGGAGAAAGTGGTCACGGCTTAATCATCTGCCTGGACAGATTGAGGAAAGCCACAAAACTTCAAACAGGATAACAGGTTTCTGTGCTGAGATCCAAACCAAGCACCTTCCATATACAAGTCTACTGGTTTACGAACACTCGTTCGGCATTTGGTAGAACCTGCTGCCTCCGACCTCAATGCAGAACAATACGGCTATGTGAGAAATGATCAGTGATCACCAATCAGATAAATTTATATATCTTTGTATTACATTCATCATCCATTTTGATTTTTAGCTAGAATGAGTGGTTACAAGGCCTACCTTATATAAGGACAAAAAATATGAGATCTCTGAATATTACCAGTCAGCCATTTGATTCTTAGCCAGAGAAGAGCATCAGCTAGAGCCTGTATAAAGAGCATGCAAGTAAGCATAATAAAATGCAAAGCATGTAGGAAAGTTTGAGTAGTGCAATACGGAGCACACTTTTTTCAATCATGTCGTTTCATTTCTTACATGAAAACTGTAAATGGTAAATGCAGTTACCATGACAACAGATGGCAAACAATGTACCTGACCCTGCAGTGCGAATGTGACTCACTTGATGTGGTTCAGCAAGTCGTTAAGAGTGCGAGTAACCTCTGACGCAGCCTGGCTCAGTTCACGCAGCAGATGCTCATCTGGACAGCTCTCGTTACAGATGGTGACCAGTCCCTCCACTGCACGAGCCACCTCCCGCACTGCAGCCATCAGCTGCTCCTGACATGCCGGGCTGTGCAGGGTGGGTGCAACCACCTACAAAACATGCATGAAGTACACATTATATCCTTTGGAGAATACATTTCTCCTAGATTCAATCCCAGTTTCAAAGGAAACAATTGCATTTCAAAGACAAATGTGTTCATGTAGTTGGAAAAATAGCCAGTATAACATGAAATATATATGCATCATGTGGGTAGAGTGAAGTTTTCTAGTGTTAAAGCAGGTGCTACATATTGTGACAGGGTAAACATGGAACAATGCCCAGCCTATTGCTAGGCAACAGCCACCGTAACAATTAAAGACAATGTTAGAATGGTATTTTCTATGCAGTCTGTGCTGAGGCTATATATAAGCAGAGCAGGCAGGCAGTTGATCTTGCCATGAGCCCCAGATTGGGCTAGACACCAAGACTGACTGACTGACTCACTGACTGACTAACCATCAGACACAATGTGACTTTGACTTGAGTTGACAACAAATGCCTGTGTGGAGGTGGGATCGAATACCTCCATGCATAACCCTGCATGTCACAGGTGATGAAAAGGGAACCCAGTGCCTGGGGGCATAACTGGTCCACCCTGTTCCTGGGGGAGTCTCAAATCTGAGACAGTAAAATATTGTCTTATGGTCCCACAGGACGCAGACCTCAGAATGACTGCACTGGCGAGAACCAGCAGCAATTGTAAACGACATACCCATCCTCTCATCAGAGAGAATGTTACATAAGGACTATAACTGCAGATGTTGAGTTTGAAAAAACAAAAAAATTACTGGTTGTGAGTCTCAAGGGGCTTATCATCAATACGAACTGATTGGCAGTAAACTGTCAGTCGTACAGTAACTCTGACTGTGATCTGACAGATAATGAGGGCTGACGAGAGCCAAGGATAGCAAGTGATAGCCAGTTAGTTGACGGTTATGACTTAGAAGTCAACAGTGGAGCAATGGGTTGCAAGTCAGTTGCCAGCCAGCATGGACATGAGCTGCTGAACACAGACACTGAGGAATCTACATTACTGAGAGCCGTTACTAGGCAACGACTAGTGATGACAAAATTACAAGACTTAGTGTGTGCTGTAGTGAGAAATTGAGTGGATAGATTAGCAAAAGCATTATAATTACTTGTAGTTACAAGCTGGAAGAGTTCAATAAATCCAGTTATCAATCCAAACCCCATATCTAGTCATTAACATGTGACAATATAGTAACCATTATGTTCTAATTGGTTATAGGCATGTTCAGCAGAATTACACATGATATAATTATGATATGATGAATTCTTCCCTTATGACAAATAAATATTAAATTCATATGCAAACGACTAGACTTAACAGGGGCTCACCAGGTTTGTGAACATGCATAAGAGAGAACAATTACAAAATAAAATTATGAGCTTCACAGAAGCAAGTCTTACCTTGGCACAAGCGACAAGCTGTGACGTGGCGAGAGCACACTGTGTAGCAGCACCGATCACTTTGTTCTGCGTGGCCTGGTCTTCACAAGTGGCAGCAATGTTCTTGGCTTTCAGGACGAGAGCAGCAGTTGTGTTGGCAACAGCCTTGGCAAGTCCGAGCAGGATATCCTGCAGTTCACGACTTGACTCATCCTCATGGCCAATGGTGGAAAGAACCTGGTGCGAGGCCTCACCCACACGACTTGCAGCATTCAGGAGATTCTGGCGAGGCTGAGAAATTAGCGGACCAATTTCAGAAACTTGCATTTCCATGAAACAAATTCTGTTGTCAACTGAGTCTTCATCAGTTCATCTGCATGTGTACTGAACTGGACTTTCTGAAAGCTCTTCCTACCTCTTGTGTAATGTGAATTCATGAATATGTGGTGATGAGGTCTTCACAGTGATACCGGGGTTACAGATTTATGGTTCTCATGGTTTCTTCATATGTATAAGATCCACTGTGATTTTTAGAGACATTTTTGGAGAGGCGAACTGCATTCTAAACATTGGAAAATATATTATTTTACTATGTAATGTAGAAATCGGTAAAAGGAGGGTCCTAGCCCCCAAAACCCAGAATTATGGGGGTGGAAGCCTAATGTAATTTCACTCAACTCAATAAGGTTTACAGTTGAAGAAAGCAGTCTTCTGGGATTTGGCACCGTGTGTATGTGGTGTTAACCGACGTTTCGGAGGAACGTCGGTTAACACCACATCTACACGGTGCCAAATCCCAGAAGACTGCTTTCTTCATAGTCACCGCCGTGAAAGCCTCAAATCTTACAAGGTTTACAGTTGTTTTACAGTTATTTCCAACATATCCATTAGGGTTGATATTTATTCAAAAAAGCCTTCCATATTGAAATGTTCAAAGCCATTCAACATTAATGGTACCTCTTTGGTCTCAGGTTCAGCAGCCTTCAGAAGGTCACTGAATGCTGAACAAAGTTTACGTGCAGCATCTAGCAATTTCTCTCCAGAGCTCTCGTCTTCCATTAAAGCCGCAATCATGCGCACACCACGTGTCATTTCTGGCAGATTGGTGGTGATAGTTGTGATGGCAGCTCCGACAGCAGTGTGGTCTACCTCATCTGCTGAACCTGCAACATAAAGCAACACACATCTGAGCATGGAACGGTGATTATTTGGATAAATATAAACCTGCATGAATTCTTAATCTCAATGGTTTATGTAAGATTTGAGGTTTTCACGGCAATGACTATGAAGAAAGCAGTCTTCTGGGATGTGGCACCGTGTAGATGTGGTGTTAACCGACGTTTCAGAGGAACGTATCGCCTCCATCTTCAGGGTAGAAGGAAAATAAGAAATCCACAAGCGAACAGACCATGAGAACCGGCAGTTTCATCCAAAACGTCAGTTAACACATCTACACGGTGCCACATCCCAGAAGACTGCTTTCTCAATGGTTTATGTCTGATTTTCAGTATTAATTTGATTTTTATGTATATGTATTTGATGGTTTGAAGTGATCAACAATTATAAACCAAATGTGCCCATCACTAAGCTTCTCCTGCCACATCCAAACTTTGTTATAACAGTGAGGTGTTCCGCTTATGTAGGTTCTGTATAAGTGACAAGTGCCACTGCACAATGCTGGTATATGACTGACATACACTTACCCCATTAATTCTGCAGTCAGAAGTTAACCAACTGCCATCACAATCATTTCAGTGGTACTTTTTTAAACATTCTGTGGAAGTACAGCTGGTCAATATTGACTGAAACATCCTGGCTATGGAAAAGGTTGCGCAGTCTTACAACCAGAAGCATTAAGAAAAATTATGCTCAAGAAAAGCAGGAAGCTGATGAATCTTCCTCTGCACCAAACATTCATGGCACTGTATCAAAGAAGGATGTCACTGTCCACAAGCAGATGAAACTGCTTCATACAACCTTTGTCCATAAAGTTCCCAGACTAATGTAATATCTTGGCTTAGGTAAATGGTAGCAACTCCAGGAAAAGGTGTTCTAAATGCGGGACATTTTACAGCTCGCCTGTGTTATTAACGTTAGTTCGCTCGACCTCCACTAGGCGGCAAGGCATGGCAGAAAACCCCTCTCAACTGTCAGTTGCGGATTTGTGCTGTGAGAAGAATGAACATTCAATTTGAACAGCAAGTTAACATACAATTTTGTATGAAGTTGAGCAAGACAGCCACAGAGACACTACAGCTTCTGCATGAGGGGACTACTTTGAAGGGGACAGGAACCATTAGTTAATAAGTTGAATTCTGCATTTTTTACAGACTCAGTCTCAGAACTTTCGGACAAAGTCTGTATATGGATGGAAATGTCTCACACATGGATAGCATGGTCTTGAACAGTCCACTAGAAAGGGAGCGCTCACCTGATGTCAAGGTAACGACCTGTGCAGTGGCAGCATTCATGGCTGCTATCTGGGAGCTCACGTTCTGCTTGTTGGTATCCAGGGTTGTCTCTTTCCACTTCAGGGACACCTACACACACACACATCAGTACTAAATCTTTTTGTATACTGCATCGTCTTGGTAGGTTTATGGCTACCTACATGGTCGAGCCTTCTAGCATGTAATACAGTGAACTCCCCATTGTGCAGTGTGTACAGAGAATGAGGCGCACCAGCTACATGAACCTGCTGGTTGCATCGGGAATGCACTAAAAAAAACACTTTTCACATGCTTCTAATTCTACTTTTGCTATAATTCTTGTCATACATGACAGGCTTCTTAATGACATAGTGAACTGGTGAGTGAAACTACCTGTACTATGATCACACATCACAACTGTATCAGCACTGGTGTGAGCAAGAATAACAGAAAACGCTGCCATAATGACTGCGAGAACCACTGAGTGGTGGGTGAACATATATCAGTCACAGCTTTGTTTTTTCAAGGACTTTATAAAATGGTAAATTTTATTTGAAATCTTTGCCAGCTGCCTGATAATTCCAGATAACCGGGAGTTTACTGTAGTCTCAGGAGGCTTACAGTTATTTGTCGGTAGCATTACGGCTATCAGCAACATCTAAATCTAGTCCTGTGCACTGATGAGTCTCCTTACATTTATTGCTATTCACAAGGGTGAGTAGTTTTATGTTATAATAGGACATAAACTTCCTTGTGCTACTTACAGATGAGTCTTGTCTCACACAGAGATGCTTCTCATTAGGCTTATGATGACTCAACAGCCTATGCATTGCCTCTTCAGTACTGGTCTCTCGAAATTTATGACTATTCACCGAGGCTGAGGTTTGGCTTGTCAAATTATCTCATTAAATACACATCTAAATATCAGATCTATGCTCTGTCTTCTGTAACAGTATCAGAAGATCTACTGTCACCTGAATATGAATATCACCTCATAGTTACGGACAGTGGCTGAGCACGCACCCGAAGACAGTAAACCCTTACATATTGTTAACATGTATATCCAAACCATCAATTCCTAGGGAACAATCCACGTTCCCACTACAATGCTACAGTCGGAAAGCTACCATTCCTAGGCAACGGAAGCAATGCAATATCATAAGTCTAACAATGAGTCTCCACAATTACAACGGATTGTTAGAAGCACTGCCTGACAACGGGAAAACTGAACTGTGGGAATTGGTGTCAGGTATCCCGTCCGAACAAAGCCTATATAAAGGGGCTGAACGTACTAGAGATTCAAGAGTTAGAAGACCAGAGTTGGAAGACAGCGGCCGCAGAATGCGGTTAAAGTGATACTAATTGTACTTGAGTGTGCAAAAGTGAGCGTTCAATAAATATTCGCCAAATCCGAGACCCACGCAACAATATTTAGGATCACACTTACAGGATCTGAGCCCAGCTCTGGTATCTGAGCCTTAGTCTCCAGCTCCTTCTCTGCTGTGATGATAACATCATGGCCTGCACTAATAGTGCTCAGGAGAGCCCGCTGAGGCTCTGTCAGAACACTGGTTATTCTCGACTGCTGCACCTGTAAAGAGCACTAACTGCTACCACACAACTTCCTGTTACAATGTGAACACTCACATATACAGAAAGATTCACTTAGAGAAGGCTCCAAATTAGTAACTGTAATAAATCATGCAACAGTTTACCAACGGAAACACAACCTGGCAACACTGACACAGACCCTGCCTGCCCACTTCATGTCACTTCTGCAACTGCTGCAATCCCTTCTGCGATGCTGGATGCAACATTCACAAACAGGGAACATCATGTCGGCCTGTCTCTCCAAGCACAGGGAAAGAGGTTTATTATCTTCTCTAACCTAACTTAAATCAATTTTCACTGGTATATTATTGTGTGATTTGTAATTACTAATTCACGGCCTTCTCAGAGTGAATCACCTTGTTCAGGCAAATAAAATAACTCAGCAATGGGACTGGCTCTGTAGTAATTATTTAGTTTCTTGGGGCTGGATAAGGCTGAGTCCACTTGATACATTTACCTATTGTACCGGCCCCACATGACAGATGACAAGTGTGGATCAGTCTGTGGAATGACAACTGGCATAGGAAAATGAATGTCCAAGAAAACCTGCCACAATGCCAGTTTGTCCACCACAAATCCCACATGACCTGACCTGACCTGGGCTCGAAACCCAGCCACTGCAGTGGGAAACCGACAACTATTTTTTTCATTGCTAGTGGGGTGGGACTAAGTCCCTTGTACTGCAGCCACTTCTGGCCTCTTGTACCAGCCCCAGATGATGGGTGAGGGTGATTGTGGAGCAATTGGTGGAATGAAGATTGGCAGAGGAAACCGAAGCACTCGGAGAAAACCTGCCCCAGCGCCACTTTGTCCACCACAAATCCCACTTGACCAGACCCGGGATCGAACCCGGGCCGCTGTGGTGGGAAGCAAGCGGCTAACCGCCTGAGCTATGGCATGGCCTCACCTGCTCAGTAATCGCCACCCTGATAAGAATGTCAAACATGTGACATTCCCAATGAGGTAGGCCTGCATATGAAACTGCATATGGCTTCTATGAGACAGCAACTGTTCAGCCCAAAGCCACACCTACAGTGACTCAAAGGTAAGAAGTGGTGAAGTGCAAGAATAACTTTTCCAGTTCAAGATGAGAGTCTGAAAAAATTTTTAGAATCAAAATTAATTGTCTCTATTACATTAATTTTTTTTACTGTATTCACAATTTACAATATGAGCCACATTTTCACAACACACTGAACTGTATTCTGATATCAGATCCATTTTCACTAATAACTTTCTTAAATCATTCCATCTGAAAGAGATTAAATTCTATGGCCTCCATTTTTACCAAAGGTAGAAACAGACAGAGACAGGCTTTGTTGACAAGTTGATTTGTGACCCTGCTGACAAACATTATGATTCTCATGGATCAGGTAATAAGCATGCTACCACACCAAGCAAATGCAATGACCTGATCATTCTAGAAATTCAAGACTGAAAAATTAACATTCAAAATGAGATCAAAATGTGGATTCAAAACAAAAAATCTGAGACTCAGGAATGCCCATAAACAACTATAAAGAATTTCTGCCTGTCATTTCATAACATCAACTTATGCCCGACTAGCATGAGATTGTAATTAGTATCAAGTATACACACACCACCATAACCCCCTCCCCCAAGCTATGCCCAGTAATATATGGGGTAAATTTCCGCAACTGTAAACATCTTCATTCTTCCATGTCAATTAAACTGAAAGAGGACATAAATTTATATACTCAACATTGGATGCATTAAGTCAACCTTTATTTTACCACATACTCAGATAAGTTAATAAGTGGAAAGTGTAGAAAAGCTCAAAGCACACAAGGACTGAAAGCTTTCAATTCAAACTAAAGTGTTATTGTGGAAAAGAGTTTAGTAATACAAAGAACACAAAAGCTGAAGGCTGTTAATTCATGTAAGAAATTATTGTGAAAAAGAGTTTAGTAACATAAAGAACACAAAAGCTGAAGGCTGTTAATTCAAGTAAGAAGTTAATGTGGAAAAAGAGTTTAGTACCACAAAAGCTGAAGGCTGTTAATTCAAGTAAGAAGTTAATGTGGAAAAAGTTAGTAACACAAAAGCTGAAGGCTGGTAATTCAAGCAAGAAGTTAATGTGGAAAAAAAGTTTAGTAACACAAAAGCTGAAGGCTGTTAATTCAAGTAAGAAGTTAATATGGAAAAAAAAGAGTTTAGCAACACAAAGAACAAAGGCTGGAGGCCATTAATTCAAGTGAGATACCAGAGCCCAGTCATGAGTGATAACAAAGAGTTATGTACCTACTCTGAGTCCCTCTACAGGCGCATGGAACAGACAAAACAATGCATAATTAGCACATCACTTAATACGTGCTTGGCAGAGCATTCAACTTTGCTCCCAAGCACTAGTTCTTACCAGAGGTGGGGCATGAGCGAGATTCACCTGCCCACTTATAGTTGTGTACTGGGCACCTCCCATGTGACCCGTCCCATATGGTCGGGCTCCTGTAACACAGGTGCAACCTCTACAAACAACTCTTACCATTTAAACAGATTAGAACAGCTAATGTAACAAGGTTACAAGGATCAAGATTACAGCCTTCTAGAACATCATGATCAGGATCAAGATTACAGCCTTCTAGAAAGTCATGATCAGGATCAAGATTACAGCCTTCTAGAACGTCATGATCAGGATCAAGATTACAGCCTTCTAGAACGTCATGATCAGGATCAAGATTACAGCCTTCTAGAACGTCAGATCAGGATCAAGATTATAGTCTTCTAGAACATGGCACCATGTAGTTTCATAGACAGGTAATAACATTCCCCAGGAAAAATGTACCTATTTACCAAACTAAGCACAGTTGATATTCCCATTTCATTTCATATTGGGCAGGGTATTACCCTTATAAGTTTATTTCTGTGTATCCACCATTTCAACTAATGGCTAAAAAAAGAAGCATATTCTTATTACAATTATGGATCAAAACATTTCAATAGGAGCATACCTCCACTTAAATCATGTAAAGTCAATAGAAAAACTGAGTTCACTTAGATGATACAGACATATTTTGAAGAGTACAGCCCTTCTGTAATGCAGGGGCCTACAGCACTGTCTAAGTGGTACTTTATTTTCACAACAAAAAAAATGTCGAAACATGACACTAGTGTACCACAAAGTACTTACCATCTGCTCCAGCACGCATAATGGCTGGCTTTGCCAGGGATTCTGTGTTCACCTTGCCAATTTTGCTGGTCTCATGCTGCAGTATGGTCGCTCTGTCAAAACACGGCAACAGGCGATTATCAACTAATGACAATTCATGGTAAACAAACATTGCCTATAACTAAAAAATTAAAAGGTTAGACATCTCTATTTGCAAGCTAAGTTGCTTCTAACATAGCGCAATAAGGCTACATCCACAGGTGAATGTCATCTATCAACGAGTAAATCCATGCAGTGCAGTCGTTCTTGAGAAACTAACAGCTGCTCAGCTAATAAAGAAATTTATGGTATTTTATGGCAACCAAGGTTGGTTACTGTGATCACAGGTGTTACCACTAGTCCCTCTCTTGAGCCAGATAAATCTGATCCAAATCTTCCCATTCTATCTCTTTACCACTACTGCCACAATATTTGACTAAAGTCGAACAAGCATCAACTACTGAATAGTGCAGCACTTGGCTCAATCCATATCAAGAAATAATCTTCTCCTTTTGCTGCATAATTTGGCCTCATTCAATAACTTCATGGAGCTGAGCCCATTTTGAGAAAATGTCAGTTGTGCAGCTGATCAAGAATATCCCAGCATTTTATGAAACCAAAAGGTTCATTACCATGTTCACAAGAGCCCTCCACTTGTCCCTATCCTGAGCCAGATCAATCCAGTTCATACAACCCCATCCTATATCTCTAAGAACCATTTTAATATTATCCACCCACCTGTATCTATGTCTTCCTAGTGTTCTCTCTTCTTTTGGCTTTCCCACCAATACCCTATTTGCATTCCTCTTCTCCCCCTTTCGTGCTACATGCCCTGCCTAACTCATCCTCCTTGACTGACTTCATTCACTGGGCTACAAAAACGCTCTTTTCTTGCTTTACCTTAAAATTGCATTATTTTAGGGAAATGGTCACAAATAATATGCAGTCTGAGGGTTAAGATTAATTTTACTATTGTCTCCATCCATGCCTAAGTCTTGAAAGTGGTCTTCTTACTTCTGAAACTTTGTACCCATGTCTCTTTCCTCTCCCATACATTCCACATGCCAAACCCATCTCATTTGCCACTTAATTGTACACCCTAATTACATTCAATCTGGAATACAAATTACAAAGTATCTCATTATGCTTGTTATGTTTTCAGTTAGTATAAATGCATTTATATATACGAGTACAATAAACAACTTCTGTAAGTGTTCAGCTTTTTGTACATTGCAGAAAAGACAAAACCTTCTGCCCCTGCAGTGAATCAAACCCAGATTTGCTGGTCATCTAGCCCATGACCTAGCCCAATACTGAATGTATGAGAAATTAAATACAGCAGTGGCACCTACTTGAGAGGAGAAACACTGTCCTCCACCATTGTCGAGCCTTCGTCACCTTCAATACCAAAATGGTCCTTCGATTTCTTCTGCAAGTTAAAAAATAAAAAAGAAACCTGTCAACATTCCAAGGTACATGCGCCTTCACAAGAAACATCCATGAAGAACACAGCAGTTTCCAGTGAGATCTGGATTTACAGAAACCAAAACAGAGTAAAACTGCTCTAAAAGTGCTACTTGGGAACCAGTGAGGAAAGTCTTAGGGCAGCCGCACACCAACTGCATCAAGACAAGCATCAAAACATGAGACAAAAGATGCAGTCTTGCTTCATTCATGATTTGTCAGCATGAAGCTGACGTCAGCATCATGACCCAGACCAGAGTGTGGCGTTTTTCCTAAGCTCATTCGTTTCAACTGCGCTCCTTTCTTTGTGTCATGTCGCAGACATCTTGTCTTGACACATGCCAGTGTGCAGCGTACCTAAAATGGAGGCAATTTAACACTGAAATTATTGAATTGGGATCACAGAAATTGAAGGCTAAATGATGGAAAATCTTAATCTGATGGGAATTAAATATGGATTCCATTGTATATGACATTCAAGGGTTTTATGACAAAGAATATGAAGACTGTGACTTTCTGAGACAAGATGTGGTGTATCCTGGTAGAAGTTTTGCAGCACTTGAGCTGCGTCCATCTGTGGGGTGCCCCAGAAGACAACAGCCTTCATCAGAATCAATGTACTATAATACAGAGCCCTTGAACATCACGAAGTCTTATACAAGAAACAGAGACAAAGCTCCATATGTAGGATTTTAAGTTCCCATAGCGGTATCAAATTACACTCTTCTCAGACATGATGCAATGTAATTTGATAGATCATTAGCAACATTTTGGAAGAAACTGGTGCCTCCATCTTCATGGTAGAAGAGTCCTCTACCCTGTACAACTGATGCTGCAGGTTCATCCAAAATGTTGGAACCAATGTACCAAACTATACAACACCATATCCCACAAAACCATCATGTTACCCATCCCTTGCTCCTGTACCTTCTTCAGTATAATGTCTATGTAGCCAGCAATAAGCTGCAAGATCTGCTCTGCCTCTGTCGTCTGCACTGAGTAGTACTGGTCAGAGTAGTCTCCAAAATCCAACGTGAATGTGTTGGGAGATGCACCCCAACGTCGCACAGTAGTCAGTGGCCATGTCTTCAGAATTTCTTTTGTTTTCTCATCTAGACGCAGGACAGAATCCTTCGTCACACCCAGCAGACGGGGCACCAACTTGTTCTTCCCCTTCATCTTCTCCTGCACATGTAACATCGCACATTTGCCTGTATCACAGCTTGGCGATATGGAGCGGGGCATTGGAATGTACTTTTATGTTGGTGTTCCCCAAAATAAAAGCACTTAAAATTCATGTAGAAAATATTTACAATGATGACATACAACACAAATGAAGCATTTACACTAGCTGCTATAGCGGCATCAAAATGGAAGCATCTTAGCCAGCCCAAGGTTTTCTGTTCATTCCTCAGTTTTCTTATGCAGATGCTGGAATGCTCAAACAGTACCTCCACATATGTAAATACATAACATTGCAACCCCTTCTCCGTTCGTAATCCGTATTCATATAGTCACGTCTCATTTGAAGAAAACCCCTGCAACTGAGTCAATGACACTAGATAAAGAATATGTCAATATCAATTTTCACTATGAAAATTCTGTATGTATTTCTTTTTTTCTCTCCTTGAACTATATACCCTACCCATCAAAAATGTCATTATATTTACATTACATGACGGAAAGTACTATATCACAAAGTTAATCCCAGAACTCAATAACAACAAACATTTCCAAACAAGTTCTGAAGTTTTACATAGTTATCAGTTACACCACTATCAACTGGAACGCAACATTCTTCGTTCAACCTCCCACCCCAAACCCACTCTCACTCATTTTTGATACAGTACCTTAACGAGGAAGAATGTGACACCGTACGTCTTCAGAGAGCGGGCAGTTTTGGTGTACTGCACCTTAGCATCAAGCTCAGACAGGCCAACATGCTTCTTATGTTCAGCAAACACCTTCTTTTCAATGCCCTTAACCTTGGCATATGACTGCGGCAGGAACTCCTTGAGTCTACACAATGAGCAATGGGATGTCAACAGTTTTCCTGTCTTATCTCAACATGAGACACATTTATGTACATATGTCCATATGAAGTGGCTAATGGAACCCAATGCTAAACACTGCAATGGCAATAAATTAACTCATCCCTTGACAAATGAGCAAGCACTTTATGACCTTTCACTGCACCATAGCTCAAGTGGTTAGCCACTGGCTTCCCACCGCGGCGGTCCGGGTTCGATCCCAGGTCTGGTCAAGTTGGATTTGTGGTGGAAAAAGTGGTGCTGGGGCAGGTTTTCTCAGAGTACTTCGGTTTCCCCTGCCAATCTTCATTCCACCAACTGCTCCACAATCACCACCTATCATCTGGGGCTGATACAAGAGGCCAGAAGTGGCCGCAGTACAAGGGACTTAGTCCCACCCCACTAGCAATAACAAAAAATATGACCTTTCACTCACATGAGATGTGTATTTATGTACCTTCATTTGATTTCAGGTTCTCATAATGCCCACAATGAAGGGTACAGTCTTTGGGGTCATAACATAATGTATTTTGGAAAGAGCCTCACATTTTGGAGTAAATCACCTCCATTTTCAGGACTGATAAGTAAGCCAAGCATGAAACCTGCAGAAACAGCTCAGTTCTCCATCTGCTTCTATAGGCTTCTTGCTTGACCTACTATTTCAACCCTGAAAATGGAGACAATATGTCAACTTGTAACATCATGCTCTCTCCAAACTACACGTACATGGCATTAGAACCCAAAAGGCCATCCACCTAACAATATTCATATTTTCTCTCTGTCACATATTGTCATGGCACACCCACAGTCTTTGACTAATCACATCACATACTAAATTTGCACTAAAATCCTGTCACTTCAGGCATCATAGCTACTCTGACTTTTCAATACGATTCTTTCGGTGTTCAATTCACACATCACTCATCAGTTCATACATACATACATATATACATACATATCATACAACTGTACTTAGTGGTGTAAAAACAGCTTCTTTACTTACTTATGAAAAGAAATTATTTTATAGTGTTTATACAATAAGAAAATGAACAGTTTGTTGATGTTATGTCACATAGCACCCATTTGTAAGAAACCGCATTCACCCAAGATTCAATGTAAGCTGAAACATCTGAAGGATAATATTTACATAAAGCAATTAGAAACAATCGCAATATTACTTACTCGAGAAACCCTGGTCGGTGTTTATATTCATTGTAGCTTCCAAACTGTATGTGACACTGAATGCCAGCGAACTCACACGCCTTCTCCTGTGTGACTGGATGCGTGCCATCCAGTATTGCATCACGCGCCTGCACATACAACAAGTTCAACTGCACAGGATCCCGTGAGTCGATGTTCTGGTCCGAGAAGAAGAACTTGCGCCTCAGCAGGAGCGTCTCGTTCTCATCAATACCTTGCTCACGCAGAGTCTTGGAGGGGTCTATCCAGTTCACTGTAGCAGTAAGTGGTATGATCAGTTAGTTTCCGGACTGGCCAAAATATAACAAAATTGTAGGATGTACCTGATAAATTAAAGGCACAGGACTTCTGGAAATACTTCCAACATGACAAATTCACTGAACTCACTGCAAAAAGTGGAAAATAAACTACTTTGAAGACGACAGCATGGAATAGATGGTAAATCCAGTTATCACAGACAAACAGAAATCAAATACAAAACTGTGTGATCAAACCACATACAAGAATAGCCAACACTACAATATACTGAGCACATAACTAACTCGAATATCTGGCCAGTTTACTGCAGCAGTAAGAATGCAGTGAATAGTATAACAATAAAAAACATAACCAGTCTGCTTGGCCTACTATCCAAGGGGTACTTGGGGCTCTTTCCCAAAGGATAAAATGGTCAGAACTTGAAGCTGGTCTGAGTTTAAGAAAGAATTAACCCATCAACACAATAATACATTTTCCTAGGCAATGACTATCACTGACAAGACTTTTACCAACAGAAGCAAAGCACTTTAGAGTAGAAAAGAATTCCAACCTGATGAAACACTGATGCTTGAAGCAGCATTATCAGCAGCGACTTGAAGCACAGAGCAAATGATGCTGGCGATGGTTCAAGTTCATATAGCAACAGGCATGACCAGAGTGGTTTGAACGGCCATTGTACTGCGACGTGGAAAGCAAATGGAAAAACTACCACATTATCACTTTTCCTGGATAGTCTCTTTCCAAAAACAGATATACCATGCATGCGAGATGTTTTCTCTGGAGACAAAACAAACCGGAGGAGCGGACAGAAGTGACCAGAAGACAAGGAAGAAGACGTAAGAAGATGCTGGATGACCTTGGTGACAGAAGAGGATATTTTTATTTGAAGGAGAAAGCTTGAGATTGTATTAAGTGGAGGAACTGTTTTGGAAGAGACTGTTGACCTGTCATCTGACAGATTACTGATGAATGAATGAAACACTTAGATGAAGGAACATATCCTCGTGTATTTATGCGCTCTTGGTGAAACAGGCCAGTACTCCATATATGCATTTACAGATGTGTGTGGGTTAAACTGTGTCTCCATGCCCCATACACAACCATGGGGACAACTTTTACATGTTTACACTAAACACTAACTAATGAGTATTATCTACTGTATGTATAACACATCTCTTGGGGCATCACACCATAAGCAGGCAACGTTATGGAAGAAAAGTCTGTGTTTGAGATGTCCAGCATGACTATACTGGTTCGCATTCTATATCGGAAATGAAATTGAGTAACTTCCTAATGATGGTGTAGCGATTCGCATCGTTATGTGATGACGCCGCACTCTGAAAGATGTTTCAGACACAACCAGGTATACACAGCAAAATAAATGATACTCACCTTCATCATCTGTCTTCAGTTTCTTTCGCAACTGGTCCATCTTGGCATCGCGTTCCTTTTCTTCCTTTTTTCGTTTCAGCGTCAATGTGCCGAAGTTCGGTTTGTTTTCCAGCTCCTCCTCTTGGTTCTCACGTACAAGACTATACTCATCATGGTTAGTGATACCTGGTAACATCACAAACCAATAAAATCAGTGAATAATGCAATGCAAGGTTTAGCTCCCCTTATGCCTATGCAGCGATAATTTTGACCTAGTCAAACACCAATTAAATAAGTGTATCCCAACATCTCTCATGTGCCAGGAGATTCAAATATGGTTCAATATCTCATGGCCAGGGATCAACAATGTTGAAACTCTGTCATTTTTCCACACTGCTACATCAACATCAACCCAGCAATACATGATGATAAAGCCAAACGGTACCCACCAATTTTGGTGCAAATGACAACCATCAGATTTGCTACTGGCTGACTGTCATCCACTAGCAGCGTCTTCAGTGTTCCATCCAGCATTCTCACTCGTAAAGTTCTCAGCTTCTTGCGGTATTCCAGTAAGTCCTGACAACATAACACAAATAAATATACCTGCTTCTTCTCCAGTTCACAGCCTGGTTGAATCCCAATCATCTGCATGACTCACCCCATTTCTGAGGATGTAGTACTCAAGGTTTCGTATCGGTTCAAGCCAAACGCCCTTCTTCACGTCCTCATCTGCCAGAAACAATCCGTAGTCCTTTGCTGAAACACCACAGATACGCCATACTTACACACCTTTCCTCCGCAACAGACTTGCAATAGGAACTTTTATAACATGCTGTGTTTTCTGAAATGTGAAGTTCCCATTGCAATGAACATGAAGTTTGCTATCTTACGTGGTGTGACATTGTGTAGTCTGGTACATATTTACCAATTCTGCCTCCACTTCCAGGGCAGACCCTATAATGAAGATTGATGATACAGGATCTGTTGAAATGTTGGTATATATATTTAGCAGACTACACAGTGACACATCCCAGAAGCCAATAATCTTCATACAGGGCTCTAATTGCTGCATATGGAATGTCACTTCATTAAATAATCAAAATGCTTATGATGATGGACAACCAAAATTATAGTCATGCTTGCTGCAACACAATTTCGGGCACACTTAGATTTATGGTTATGGTTATGAGGAATCTCATGTATTTACTTACGTTGACCCTGATTGGCTTCTGAGATCTTCTCTCGTATGATCCTGCACGCATCATACACCGATGTCGTGGGATCAAACTGCATTGTCTTCGTCACATTCTTCTCAACGATGCTGATACGTAGAGACAGGGTAGCCATGTTGTGGCTGTGTGAGTGTCTTTGCTGCAACACAACATGGCAATGTACAGCAGATCATGAAGATGTCACTCCTTCTGTCAACAGAATGATGCAGATTTTAAACTGTCAAAATCCTGACTTTTAGTCAGCATCATGGAGATATTCTGTCTGTTTCTACATTCACAAACATGTTTCATGCCTAAAAATGTACCTGGAATTTCAATTAGATTTCACATTTAGGGTCTATAGGGGGCATGTAGTAGCATAGTTGGTTGAGGCACTATGCTACAAGGCAGAAGGTCACGGGATTGAATCCTGATGAGGTGGATTTTTTCAATTTACCTAATCCTTCAGCTGCACTATGGCCCTGGGATCAGCTCAGACTCTAATAGAAATGAGTACCAGGAAACTTCCTGGGGGCAAAGGGCAGCTGGTGCATATGGCTGACAACCTCACCGCCATCTGTGAGCCAATTGTCTAGAAAATGTGGGAACCTCGACATCTCACAACCCTATGGGCCTCTATGGCCTGTTACAGGGATACTTTTACTTACTTACTTTTTATTTAGGGTCTACAACACAAGCAGACAAGCAAGTTTTGCTTTGTTTTCAATACAGCAACTGGAACAGCTGAGATGATGTATCAAATAGGGCACAGGCTGGACAACTGAGGAACCGAAGTTTATTTCCTGGCAGGTGCAAAGAGACATTTCACTTCTCCACAGCATCCAGACCAACGTCCTACATAATGGTTACTGAGGGTTGTTTCCCCAGGAGTAAAGCAGAAAAGCATGAAGTGGACCACTCACCCTCATTTAATGCCGAGGTTAAGAATAGTGGAGCTGTACTTCCAACTACTCCACGTCTTCATAGCATGGCGTCTTATAAGGCACAGGGGCAGCTTAAGGTCTGTTTTCCTTTATATGAAGCTCAATTTGACCTTCATTTATTTTCTTAAATAGCTAAACACCACAAAAATTGGTTCTAGACATAAAATAGGGCTCTTGCTATGGCCTACAATATTTACTGATAACATTTTTCAATTTGGTAAATGTGTATTGAAATAAAGAGCTCCACACATTTCGAACTTACTGAATATGCAACATGAGCCGTGACAGTTTGGAACACAAGAGAACAAGCAATACATGCAGCACATGTCACAAAGAATAAAACATGAAAGACTGCAGCAAAGAAGATGTCATTCATCAGACGTTTAAATAAGCTGGCAAAACTGTCACATTTTCAATTTATTCGGAACTTTAAAAAAAAAACAATGAACTGAATTGAAAACATATATAAGAAATAACAAAATATTAATTTCAAGAGTTTTAAATCTGTATTCAGTCTGCCTACAAAAAGAGGTAGTCTACACTGTTCTTACACTCACCAAAAATGAATATGAAGAGTTCTATCTTCTAAGATATAATGTCATTTAGCCAGGTGAAGGTCAACTGATGTTTCAGAGAAACATTATACCTCTATATTCATGATTGCTTTATGTTGGCCCCATGCTTGTCTTATTCATTATCCCTGAAGATGGAGGCAATATACTGCTCCGAAACATCGACTGATTTTCAACTGACTATGAGGCATTATTTCTCATAAGCACTGTTGAGAAAAACCTCAAATCCTACAAAACTGAATATGAATGATAAATATTCTAATGCTAATGTGAGAAGTGGATGTAAAACTCCACAAATTTACCATGAGATAACAGTGAGTGGTCAGATTCGCGCTCCATTTGTTTTATCCCAGGAGAAGGAGCTCCAGTAATACTGCATAAGAGGCTGGAATGTACAGCGATTGTGAAATTTCTTAAAAGAAAACTCTATCCTTACTGAGAATGAAACCATGCCCCTCCCGCAGCCATAGCTTGCATACTGGCTGAGCTAGACGCTAATATTAAATTTCGTACAAATCCGTTCGATCAAAGGGAAGATGTTTCATTCATACCAAATAAAAACAAAAGGAAATACCAGTGATTATGAGGCACTGAAATCGATTGATGTGACGAGAATCAATTTCATATGCCTCTCAGCAAAAATGTAGCGGTTATACATCAGCCCCAAGTTTACAGCCACAGTTAAAGAGCTGATGCGTCTGGAGACGCAGAAGCCGGCGCCGGACCAGGCGGCGCCTCTCTGCGGTCGTCATGACAACACCCCCGTACCGCGAGCAATACGGGCACACGATCCGAGTTCGTCAGGTCGGGCTACGCCTGGTCCTGGTACAATCACAGCTTCTGGCAGTGTAGTGTGAATTCCGTTTCGAGGGGACGTCTATAGCTTCGTGCATCAGCTGACAGACTTGAGCGTGTCTCGATGATGCACAAAGTGAAGGCAAGGCAGTCCCCATGCCGGAGGTCATAGGGGTAGCTGAGGTATAGCTCCACATATTCCAAACCCGACCGCTTTACCCTAGGCATAGAGAGCCCTCGGTACCCACTGTAAAGTGACTGTGTGGGCCTCGTGCCGGTCTGGATGCGGTGCAGAAATTTCCGAAGGCGTACTTTGCAGTTTAGTAAGCTTAACTGAGGCCTATTTATAAGCAACATTTCAGCAAAACACAAAACGTATTACATAAAAGCAAAATTCGTAAGTCAACAGCAAAGTAATAGTACAATATCGAATTAAAACAACATCTGCGAAAGTCCAATTACCGTATTAGGCAAATTACGCTTTATAATGGGTCAATATAGCTAAAAATACTAATTTTCGAAAAAAAAAACTGTCCTTATATCTTTCACATCGAATTCCGCTAAAATCCGATTCGCAGTTATGATATAATGAGTTCATTAATGATCTTACGTAAAACAGACTTTGTTATCGATCAAAATGACCGAAAATCGAAATTTCCGGGCAACATTTTGTCTCCAATGACAAATTACTAAAGAAAAGTGCCACGGTTTAGGCGCCGATGCTAGGTCAACACGGCCTGACAAGACACAACTTCCAAATAATGCGTTTTTTTTTTTCGTAAAGAACACCTAACAATGCTGCCCCCTGCCGGGAATCGAGCACCCATTTCCCAATCGTCCAACCCGTACTGCAGTCAGCACCCCAACTGAACTATCCCGGCGCCGGGACACGCAATCAATACCTGCACATTTCCGCAAGATCGCAGTTAATTCGTTATGTTGCACAAAGAGTGTCCCGATAAAGCATCCGTCCTGACAGACCACACGCTCGCCTCCTGAGGGAAACAGCGAATTCATATACTCGTATATGCGTGAGGATGTCTAAAGCTGAGTCATGAAACTGTTTGTCTCTGTAGGCCCACTATAGCCCCCACCCCCATTCATACAACAAAATTCACGCCTCTGTACTCTAGTGGTCAGAAGTTCCTGGCTACAAATCCATGGGTCCGGGTTCGATTCCCGGCGCTACCAGGTTTTCTGGGTCTGGAATGCGGTCCACTCAACTTCGTGAGGATAACTGAGGAGTTATTTCAAGGAAACAGCAGCTCCGGTATAGAAAACCGAGAGTAACTGCCGTGGGGATCCGTTGTGCTGATAACGCGATACCCTCTATCCGCTAAAGTAGGCACTAACTTCGCCGACAAGCGGCGGTTGCTCGGTCGGTATAGTTCGCTTAAGGACTAGAACCATGGAGTTTTTTTATCAACATACGGTTCCCACGGCAACGAATGTGAAGGTACCGACGTTATAGAAGATTATGCTTCATCCATCTTCAGGTTAAGGTAAAGCTACCCCTGTAACAGACCGTGGAGGCCCATAGGGATGTGAGACGTCGAGGCTCCCACATTTTCTCTAGACAATCGGCTCACAGATGGCGGTGGGGTTGTCAGCATTAAGCGCCGGCCGCTCTTTATCCCCAGGAAGATTCCTGGTACTCATTTCTGTTAGAGGCCATAGTGACGCTGGAGGGATCAGGTAAATTGGAAAATACAATGACCTCATCGGGAATCGAACCCAATACCTTCCGGCTTGTAGCATAGTGCCTCAACCTAATACACTATCGCGTGCACCCCCATCTTAAGGGTAGAAGTTTAAAACACTTGAATTATGCAGCGCAACTTCCCAGAAGATAGAAATGTTTCGCAAATTCGCCACACTTCTCAAGAACAGCTTTCAAATAACATATGGGCACATAATAATAAAATATACACCTAATTATGATGCAATGCTAATAGAACATATTTCGATGCGGTGTCTACGAGACAAACTCTACACGCTAATATCTATGGCTCCATACGTTGCAATAAATATAAAAGGTAGAGCTGTCCCTGCATTTAACTAATTAGGCACTACGCCATGAAGGCGTATGGGGGAGTGGATGCAATACATATACTGTATACATATGTAAGAGGCGAAGAGACAGAAATCTGTGACACACACAGCGAACGGCCCTACACGTGTTTCGAGCATGGCAGTTAACCAGGGCCTGAGTAATGCTCACTAGCCTGGGTGTTCGTGAAAGAATTTCATTCACGTCAGAGCCTCCGTTTTGTGAATATATATATATATATATGCATATGTATACGTATATAGTGTGACATGTAGGCCCATTACCAAATAACAGCTGTGTGAAAAAGCAACAGTACAACAGCCGTTGCTAGGAAACAGCTCTGTGAACGTTTCCTCTGCAACGAGAGAACAGGCAATAACAGAATAAACGTTTCCAGTGCGGTCCGTGACAGGTTTTATATAAAGAGGACTAGCAGTTCGGTCAACCGACCGTAGGTCATAAAATAACTTCGACAGTTGAATCAATTGAGAGCTGCAGTTGTGAGAAGTGAGAAGCTGGTAGTTGAGGCCGGGGAAAGTTCGGGAACCCAGATGAAGGGGAATATCTGCGTTTGAAGCCGTTACCAGGCAACGTATAGTGAAGAATGAGAAGACTTTCTGTGTGCTGTAGTCGCAGCGATCTTTGGAGTGTGTAACTTAGTGAGACTGTGGTAGTTATTTGTAGTTACGTTCTGTAAGTGTTCAGTAATTCTGATTACCAATCCAAACCCAGTCTACAATCACTATCACGTGACAATATATATTTGACTATACTGTCGGTATTGTGGTACTGCGGACAG